GGCAGACAGTCCTGCAGGCATTTAAGTAAATCGCCTGCGCCTGCCTTTGTTTTCCTTCTTTTTGCGTTTAGTATTTGTGTAGGCTTATTGGTGCTGCTGGCACGATATCGCTTAATGTTTGCTTTTAATTATCAAATCAGCACATGATCATTACGCTGCCGACAATGGCGACAATTATCTCGGAGATAACGATGATAATAATGATAATGATGAGGCCGATGCTGATGCTGCAAGCATTTCACAAGGCATTAAATTAAACACTTTATTTGAACAATTTTTATGCATATTTGCCAAGCATTCCCCACATTGACTGAAAAGGCAAATATTATTGTTTACAGATAAAATCGAAAGAAATGGAAAGGCAAAAAACGAGGAAGCAATAAAAGTTGTTAAATTAATTTTTGTTTGTCATTTTAAGTGAAATATATTTTATGTGATTCACCCTGGGCTCGACAATTTAATTTCCTCTCACCTTTTCCCGTTTCCGCATTAAAAAATTGAACTCTTTTTACTTTTGGCTAATCAAATCTCGGCCCTTTTTAGCCGACAATCGATGGCTGTTTCAGGTCGATAAATCAGCCAACGAAGTATTTCATTGTTATCGCCGACTTCCATCCGCTCAGATCTCATCCCATCCGATACGATACGATTCGATACCATGCCATACCATACCATACCGATCCCAATTTCAATTCGTCCCCGACTGTTTTCCTTTCACCTTTCAAATTCAATTAACTGCAGCCGAATGCCAGAGACAATCTACCAAATTCGTTAAGCAAATGGAAGAGCGTGGGAGTTTTTGTTTTTCAATACCCACCCCCTCCCACTCGCAAATATTTGCCATCAACATTTTTGCACGCTAATTTCCTCAGCAAATTTTTCGGGGCTGTGACATCACGCGCGCAACGCATAAAGATTGCTGGGGGATCTGGCGGAAAGATAGATATTTTTAAAATGAAATAAAAACACGAAACTGTTGCAGTTCACTAGACACACAAACACACACACACACTGTAAGGGCTGTGCTGAAATTTCGTCACATATTTTTGCGTAAATTGCCGGAAAATCGCAAATCATTGAAGATAAACATCCAAGTCAAGAAATGAACAGAAGCCAAGAAGCTGTCGTGGAAGATGGGGTGAAAAGCGGTGGAAATGCGGGAAAGCAGGGGAAAACCGCCGAACCAAATATCGAACAATGTTAAGCAAACACTCACTCAAACACACAGACAAACAGAGATTCGGCGAGTTGTGTGCAAGGCGAAGGCAATGGCAAAGGCGAAAGGCATCCACCAGGCAGCTGAAAAAAGCGATGACGGGGAAACGCTTCAAAAGCACTGAGAAAAATCAATACAAATTAAATTCAAGCTCTAAAAAAATGTAAAAAGTTCAAAAAATCATTTATATGCAAAATTTGAAAGAAAGGTTACACCAAAAATTGATGAAGTTAACAATCAAATTTCTAAACTACTTACAAAGTTAATTAAGCCGCTTAAAAGTCATAAACGTTTTTTGATTATTGTCTCTCAGTAATATTATTATTAATATATTTTTGGTTCTGCTAATATTCAGTTCATTTACTTAACAAATACTGATGACGAATTTTCAATTAATGCAAATGTGATGAAAGCTAATTAACAACGCTTTGTTAACAAAAAATTGTAACCTCGAGTTTAGCAAGCGATGATGACATACATATACTGAGCACTCAAAGCATATGTGTCTTAAAAATAAGGCCTTAGACTACAGTTTTGAGCTCTTCGGTATAGAAATGAAATTAAAATGTATAGTGGTTATATAACTTAGTATTGAATTAATATTTATACTTTACAACACACAGTAAGCAGTTTATTTTCAAGACACACTTATAAAAACTTAATTTTCATTTTATTTTTTTTGGGTGTACAAATTTGATAAAATTGAAAGATCTTAGATTACAAGAATCCCATTTTCCCGAGTGTATATCAGAGGCTCAGTTCTGCGGTCGCTGCCTGTCGGCGAGCCTTCGATGCCAATAAAATCGTGGCAGGGGCAGGGGGAGGGGTAGGAAAAGGGGCTAGTAAAGGGAGCTGGGGAAATGGGCCAAGAGTGCACTGAAGGGGCGATAGAGATAGACTAGACAGAGGGCAAAAAGCACAGGCTACGGCTGCTGGGGCAGAAACGTTTTCGCAACGCTTGAATTGCCAGTGAAGTGGGGGAGTTTGTTAGCGAAGGGGGGAGGGGAAATCGAAGGGGCTTAGTGAGGGAAAGGGGCTGCCCCTTCAATTGCAACAAGCGGAGCTGTCTCTGGCGTTGCAGTTTCCGCATCGCAATTCGCTCGCTTTCCACGCATCTCCCACTGGCTGCAGCTCACTTCGCCGCTTTCCCGGAAAATGCGGGGGGAGTAAACTGAAATCCAACATTGGGTAACCCGGCATGCATGGAGTCTTGACGTGTTTATAAATATTTATAAACCCCGCTGAAAGGAGACGATTATGCACCAGCCTGGACTGGCTCTAAGCGAACCCCAAATTCAGATTCACCTGAGTTTTTGGCCACGCTTTTCACAGCTGTTGCAGTAGATATCAGGTAGATATGTCTTAAATTGAAGGTTACAGTGGTTGTTTATACAAATTGGTTCAATAACTCAAAAACATCATATTTAGGTAAACATTTTTAAGTTTCAAATCAATAAAATGATTTTAATTTAAAATTATTATTTTTGAGTTACATTTGTATTTATAAAAAGGAGCGATATACTGAATTACTAATTATTTATTTAGTTAATATCACCTTAAAATGAAAACAATGCTGTTATACCTTTTTAAATTGCAAAAAAAGTACAGGGCTGCTTTTGTTATAATATTTTATCTACTGCATTTAATCCATCTTTTATATCCGGCTCCAGTTCGGAATTCACCAGGCGTATCTAATCAATTTGGGCCAATATTTGGCCACCTTGAAGCGGAGGAGAGACTGAGACTGAGACTGAGATTTCGAACGAGATTCGGATGGAGATTGAACCCGAGTTTGAGCTTGTAATTTGTATTTAGTCACCGGCTGCTTCGCTCCCTTCCAGATGATTTCACTCGAGATGCATTCAGATTTCTGGTTTGGCGGCTGCTCTTTAGTTTTCAGTCTTCAGTGTTCAGTCTTTAGTTCCTGGTTCCTAGTCCTCCGAAAGACGGAGTCCCATTAAATTGAATTTAGTTTGATTGCATTTGATTGTAGCTTATCAGAGAGATTTATGCTTCGTTAACCGTGCAGTGCAATTGAAAGGCGGCAGGATGGGGATTCGGATGTGGTACAGTGCGGAGCATTTGCATAATGCCCCTGCCAGGCATAAGCTCAACAGTTTTTAATTAAGACGTGTGCGTGTGTGTGTGCCTTGGCGAGAGTGAAAAGCGTTATAAATAGCTACGAGGCCTTGGGCTCACCTCGGTTTACAACTGATGATGACTGCCACTGCTCCTCGCCGATTTCCCGACTGAGATGCGGTGGCTAAAAGTGCGCACTCATTTTGCCATTAGTTCCAAGGAGCGGCAGCAGCGCTAGAAAACTCTCACTTTGGTCTATTAATGATGATTCGCACGGAACAGTCGTAAACTCGGGTCTCAAGCCAAACAGCATTTAACCCTCTGAGACAGCAGTAGTTTTATACTTATACCCGCTAAATGAGTTAAGTTTGTTGAAAAGTCCATTAATACTGGGGCGATTCAGAATCTTCGAAGGTTGGTTTAAATATTTATAATTCAAAAAATCTCATTATTAATTAATTGTTATTTTTTAAAGCCTACTCTTTGTTTGATTTTATATCGTTTTGTCGAAATTGAAAAATTTTCTGTGACACCATGATTCAAAGTAGGTTGGAGGAGATAAATTCACACAATTATATATATCATTTATGCTTTTAATTAAATGTCTATATTTTTTTCGTAAACAAATTAAGGCAGTAAAAATTCTTTCTATAATTTTTATACAAATTTCTCTTTTTTATCAAATATAAGTTAACAAGTTAAGTTTTAAAATAAAATGTAAAGCTGCTAAAAGGTGTACCTTTTGAGACCCAAACAAAATGCAAGGGTTAACATGCGACCAATTCAAGTCAAGTTTAAATATCATCAAGATGGATAGAAATGATGCCGCGTTAATTGCGGCGGCCTCCAAGGCAAATGCAATTTTGCTTTTACTTTGCTCGTTGAGGCGTTAAGCTGACAGTTGGCCATCTGCAGCCCTCTCTCTCTTTTCTCTCCCTTTCACCGCCTCCTTTCCCCAATCCCCTTTCACCTGCAGTTTATCATTTGGGCCTGGCCATGACGCGTGATGCGTTTTGATAATTGCGTGCTGGCGCAAAAGGGCCAAAGTCAGTTAAATGTATATACATATCGGACAAATATATATTCAGCAGCAATGCTCGCATCGCTGCACAATTAAAAGCTGTCAAAATTTCACTTTACCCCATCGAATTACTCGCCTTTTGCTTTGTTTTCCGCCATTATCATCAACGCCCATTGCCTTTTGATTGTCTTTGCATTTGTACAATTCAGCGCCAATTTTAAAATCATTTTCACACACGACTGCATCCCACCTCGGCCCCGGAAATGTTTACGGCCAAAGAAATCAACGCCCACGCCCACGCACCCGCACAGAGCAATACTATACTGTAGTAATACGATAATGAAGTTTTCCAGCATGGGGGTCCGGAATTTCCACCAACCGATCCGATAGGCACGAAGCGTCGAGTTTGTTTATCTGCAGAGCGGCGGCCAATGCAAATTCAGTCGCCAATACAAATACAAATAGAAATGAAATACAATAAAATTAAATAAATTCAGGCCTTGCATGGCTGCTTAATTGCGCGCAACTTTCAGCGGCTAAATTAAACGTAAAGATTGCAATTGGCAATTGTTGTGTGTGCATGGTGCATGGTGCATGGGCGATGCCAAAAATTCAATATCGCATACACTGACTGCCGACCACTCAGCACTAATAAGATAACAATTTATTTATGTTTACTTGCAGACAACAACAAAACAACAACAGCAAAACCAACGAAAACCATTGAACAACACGGCCAAGACACTAAGATTAAGCAGGTAAGATAAAGTATGAAGTGAAGTGTATAATGTACGAATATCTCAATATTCTGCACGTATTTGCATGGCTCAACAAGTCAAATTTAATCTGTTTTAGTGTATTTGCTCTTTTAAGAGACTCTTTCGTTATTTGGCTATTTTGTGTGCCGCACTCAAACAGATTTGGATTTGCAATCAAATATTTATTTATTCCTTCCGTTTGAGATTCAAACTGTATTCAATAGTTGCTCAGCGAACTAGTTTAGCAGCGACCTTCGACTGCATATTTTTGCTATTGTTAACTTTTCAACAAGTTAATTTTGAGGAGAGCATACGTCATATTTTACCAAATGAATTTTAAGACTTTTTTTTACGACTTGTTCGTGTTTTATAAAAATGGTTTTGCTTTTTGCTAATAAAATAAAATAAATGAAATTGAATTAACAATGAAAATATAGATCCAATTTTAAGATGCCTTAACTATTATTATTTGATTATCTTACTAACATGTGAATTAAATGTAATTTGTAAAAATTAGTGTATTAAAAATGACAACTCTTATAAAATGTATTTAGGGGGCTAGAATATTTGTGTTATTGAAATGTAAACTGGTAGAGTCTGCTTATAGCCTTGACTTGCTTTAATTAAACTTAATGCTAGCAGGAGATCAGCATCGCTCATTAACTGTGACCGAAAGAATTCCATTGCTCTTGACCAAACTCAACGCGTATTTGAAGTGCGTGGCGGCAGCCTCGAAAGTTTGCAATGCGGTCAGCGAAGAAACGCTTTGCCCACACACAAATAATCATCGCTTAATACTCAAACCTTTTGCGGGGAAGGCAAGGGAAGGGATACCGCAAGGCCAATCAAAGCGTCATTGAAACGGAAACGGAAACTGCAAGTCAAATGGCAGTCAGGCCACAGGAAATGAGGCGCACAAGTGCCCGTGGAAGAGTGCGAAGAGGTCGACCACAGTCGCTGCTCGTCGACCGCAAATTAACGCGAATATTCCACCGACTCAAACTTCCTTGCCTGTGATTCTCATTCAGATTCTGATGAATTATTAAACGAGTGTCCGATGCAGAAACATCATCGTCATCTCCAACTTCATCTCCATCTCCAATATTTTTCTCGAGCTCGAACAGTGACCATGGCAACGTTTGTCAACGTCTGCGTGTTGGAGTTTTGGTTTCTGGACCAGGGCTGTTTTCGCCCTGCCTGAATGAGCGCTCAAATGAACACCGCAATGAATGTGCGCCGCATGACAAATACGTAAAGTTTCTTTTGAAATTAAGCAGCATTTGCTGCCAATTCTTAACTACATCAGCGCAGCGCAAACTTTGTCCTCTCACCCTCTGACGAGTAGTTTTTCCTTTGGCTTCCGTTGGTTAGTTTTCGCTGGGTGTTGGCTGGCACACGAAAAAACTGGCACTCACTTTAAACTGGCATATAAAACTGGTATTTCGCGTAATATTTTTAGTATTTAACGATTTCGATGTTAAGATAACAAACGTTTTTATAATATTATAAGTGCATTTCTTGTTATTAACAAACAAAACGGCCATGAGAATTTAGAATAAAATATACTTAATAATTGACATATCAAATATAAAAACATATCATTAAAAAACGTTTATATTATATTAAGCTATTCAAGGGAAAATTTTTTAAAACGAATTTTATATATTATTAGATACCTAATATAATATTCTTGGTATTTAGTTATATGGATAGTTCACCGATAAAGAATATATTAAACAATGTTTAAAGATCACATAACTGCAATATGCTCTTTTAATAAAAGGACAACTGTTGAGTGACAACGGTTAAAGTTAAAGTTTTAAAAATTGTTTAATTGTCTATTCATTTTTTAGAATGATTTTTATTAAATATTTTATTGAGAACCAATTTATGATATCTTAAATAAACTAGATTAGTATTTCAGAAAAGTTCTCTTAGAACAACTTTAACAACTATTAAACAAGACCCCAAAACCGTCAAAAGTGGTAACAGAATCCATCACAATCCATTGATTTTTTAGTAAACAAACCTTTCTTAAACTTAAAAATTCCGATTTAAATAGTGAAAAGTAATAGAATCAATTGGATAGATGGCCAGAAAGTATTGTGGTAATAATTTCATTTTTTATCCGTGTATTGGCAGCCAAGAGGAGCTTGCTCATTTCAAACTTTTGACACAGAAACTAATTTTGGCAAGCGGGCGTCAGGCAGCCAAGCAAGACGACGATGCTGGAGAAGAATTCGCAGCCCGAAAAGGAAACCCTAGAGCTGCAAGCTTCTCTGGCTTTTCCGACTAACCGAGCAAACGCCTAGCCCTCCCCCCTCCCTTCATCCTCTTGGTGTTTGGTGGCTTTTCATTCTTTTAGTGATTGCAATATTTCATTGCCTTTGCGGTTCGTGTGTTGCATACTTTTGAGCGATGTCGCCGAGGTTTGCCTTAATTAATTGCCACCACTAACCAACTCCCGCGTCCCATTTTTAATCCGCAAAATTCGCCAGCTGCATTTTTCGCATGTGCCTTGCATTCGAATGTCGCATTTGACTTTGAATGGCGGTTTAATTGTCATTTGATTTGATTTATACCGAGAGCCAGCAGCAGTGCTAGGGCTGGCAAATTAACGCATAGCTGGCACTCCGCCTGCTGTCAAATCAAACGTACCCCCGTCAACTGATTTATGACATTTTGATTAGGCGATAGGTGTCGAGAGTCCGGCAGTTGTGCCTCCAAATGTTGTGACACAAATCCAAGGCAGTCGAGGGTTGAGTAGGGCTTTAAGCACTCTGCATGTGCAACATTCAATTCAATTTGCCTTTGGCCCCAACTCACCGGCAATCCCAATTCCTGCCAGTTTGTGGACCAGAGCTCACCTTAATATGTTTCAATTTCATTGTGCACTCAGCAAAGCCTCCTCCGCATCGGCCAAAGCCGGAGGAGTAGAGGCAGCTCACTTGTGCATACTATATGGGCAGCCAGATGGAGAGGAAAATTTGTACAAATATCCCTGGAAAATAAGCCATTAAAAGAGGCCAGAAAGTGGGCATTGAATGTTTGCCCATCATAAATTGGCCAAAAATTGCCTGCAAATTGCACGGCAAGAAATAAGTACGAATCCATGTTTGAGGGTGATGGGCAAATATTTACTTAAAATGCGAATTTGGAATCTGAACAACTTAAAGCTGTAACAAAATGTTGTGTGCCATGTTTTCTGATGTATGAAAAAAGGGGAAAAATATAAAAATATATTTTTTTTAAATATAACAACTAAAATATCTAATAAAACTAATTTTTACATAGTTAAACAAAACTTAGAAACTATTATTCAATCACAATTTAGTTTATTTTTCTAAAATTCTTAAAATTTTAAATTTCTGGGAATAAAAATAATCTAACGGTCTCTACAATTCTGTATGAATATACAAACTGAACAAAAAATTGTATTTCCTGGTAACACTTTCTTATAATTTATTACCGTTTATTAAGAACCCTATCCCCTTTCTTTTTCTTACGAGCAAAGAAAAGAAAGGAAAAGAAGCAGTTGCTGTGTCAATTACACGGCTAAAATGTTCACACCTTTCGTTAATAATGCAGCTGCGAAATGGAGATGCATCCAGCAGATGAAGATACATTATCCAAGCGTCCAAGGAAGTGCGCCAAAGAGCTCAAGCTGATTGCATTTCATTTTCAATTTAACTTGCTTTTATTTCGAACTGCTGCTGCTGCTGCTTTCGCTGCTGGTAATACCGCCGTTCGAGCTGCCGGTCTTTGCAATTACCATCGCAGGGCAGACAACAGTTGGAATTACATTCTCAATATTTCCCAGCAGCCAAAAGCAATAGCAATAGCAAAAGCAACAGAAACAGCAAAAACATGAGAAGCATCAGCTTCATTTTTTCATTCGCTCCGCTCCAGTCCGTTCCGCTTTTGCCCTTTTGCCCTTTTGCCGAGATTCTTGCGCACTATGGCCATAAATTTTTAACTACAAGCTCTTGAATGCAATTACTTTTCAATCTTTTTTTTATTTTTTATCCAGCCCCATCTTGTCTAGTCTGACACCCGCCCTATGTATATATGTTCTATAGTTGAACGCGAAAATTGCTTATTTCAACATTCAACTTTGAAAAGTTTCGTTTCGTCTCGTTACGTTAATAAAAAAAATATATAAAAAAAACGGAAAAAGTTGCCATAATTTTGCCAGAGGTCTATCACTTCATCCCTTCATCTTCACCCCGAATTTTGCCACCTCCCTTCAACTGTCTCGACTGATTACTTTTATTTTTGTTGCGCGTATTTATTTTAGCGCAGAAAGAAGTAGGTTAAACTTTGTGTTATTTGATCAGGAATTTGACATGATGGTTTATGCAAAGGCAAAAAATTTGAAAATATAAAAAAGTTGCCCTGAAATCTAGGCGACATTTTCCATTCCATTTTCTGCTGACTGCACTTTGCAGTACTACTATTAATGCCCTCCACTGACAAGGCAGTTATGACACTTGATCTCAGCGATTTTGAAGTGGCAGAGTCATTCTCTCTACACAAATAATGCATAATGTAAAGCGGGGGAGTAGCTGAATAGATTACAGTGCTTAAAGGCTTATAGGATATTGAAAAATATTAGTAAAATCCTGCCATGCAAAACTATATTTAAAAAAAAATATACCAAAAGCAGAATTAAGACTATAATATTAATAAGTATATAATTATAATTTGTATACTTAAAACTACATATTGGCAAGTTGTTCCCTTTTTTTCGTATACGACTTTAAATAAATTAAAATTATTGAAGTCTTATTACACATAGTTTAATTTAAAATTTTATAAAATTTAAGAAACAACAAATAAATACTTGGAATGTGATTGTAGTGAGATTTATTATAGAACTGATAATTCTATGACAGTTTTTAATTAAAAGTTCACTGAATAAATATTGAAATTAGAAATAGAGAACATATTGTTTTAACGCAAGGTCTTATTAAACTATATGTTTGATCAAGGATTAAACAACATTTTGATATATTTGTTAATCAAAAAATACGTTTTACTTTAAAAAGCTCCAATTAAGGTAACATTATGTCTTAATGCTGAATGTCATTACTCGTAATGATCATCGAGGTGTCTGCCGTATTTCTCGGAGATCATTAATGAACCCTGAAAGGAAAGGCAGCTGCAACTGTCTCCGCTCGCTAATCCCGCCAGTTATCCTTCGCCGCAGTTCACGTTCACCCTTTTTCGCGTCAGGAAAATGCATGTTCATCCGGCAGCCGCTAGCAAATATCTTCAGCTGCTTGGGAAAATACGTTGTGTAATGTCACTTAATCTTTTTATACGCGCCAGTTGAGATGTATATTTTTTGTTGTAAATTGCCGGGGCGTCCGCGTGGGCGGATTAGTGGAACGGATTAAGAATGAAAGTGTTTGCAAAATACTAAAACTTTATGACCGGCAGCAGATTAAGAATGAATTGTTTTTTATTATGCCAACCGAGAGGGGCATAAGTCAAATCAGCAGGTAACTTGCAGGTAAAAAAAAGTGGGGTTGGCAAAGGGTCAGGTAAATTTTGGCAGAAGGATGTTAGTACGGGTTATGTGTATAAAAACGATTGTGGGTGGTGAAAGAACCATCATTCGATCTGCAAACGTCGAACAAGCAACATCGGATAATATTATTCGCAACTGCATATTTTCAAGAGCAACACTTTGGATTGTGTGAAACATTTGACACCGCAAAATTAAAAATTTGAAAAAGCTAAAATAAAATTGTTCAATTATCACGGAAATCCGCATTCATCCAGCAAAAATGCCCCGCTACCAGAAACTTATCAACGAAAGCGACGGCGACAGCTATCCGGCAGCAACTATCAACCAGCAACAGCAGCAACATCGCTATCAGCAGCAGCAACATAAGTCGCCGAGCGTGGGTTATCACCTGTATCTGTACCGGCAGCAATTAGCGCAGAAAAAAGTGGAGTACATGAGGCTGTCCAAGGCCAAGTACATCATAACCGACTCACTTTTGGCCAAAACAGTGCGCAATTTGAAAGGCTGCAGCGTCGACGAACTGAAGACGGTCAATCATCAGATCGTTTTCCGCCACAAACTACGTCATCAAATCCAACGACTCCGAAAGCTGAAAAGTCTGGGCATCAAGAACGCCAATCCCAAAATGGAAAGTACGGAACTTTAAAATAGATCACGATCAACAAGAGCTTGCTTTAACTATGTTTGAATCATAGTTTCAAAGTAAACTCTTTAATAAGCTAACAAATTTGTAAATCTTTTCGTAATTTATATTGCGCTAAATTAGTTAAGAATCTACAAAGTTTATTATAATTTTAGTTTAAGTGGCGGGCACTGCATAAATTTTTAAATGTAATATAAGGCTTAGATCTTAAAAGTTTAGAAAACAAATCAATAAATACATTTGCTAATTATAGCTGCTTATACAAGAAAAGTGTGGTCTTTTTATTAATTTCCTTATAATTTTTATCAGAAAATAACACAAAAAATTGCCATCATTATATGGTCATTATTTTAATGAAACTAATTATTTCATTATTGATAAAAAACAAAGCAAAAAACCACCACATTTTTTCGACTTAATAAGCACCATTAGCCACTTCAAATTAAATGAGCGCAGCAGTGACTTCTGTGCACTAATAAAATCAATGATTATTCAATTAATTAGCTAAACAGAATGAAGGTTTTCAAAATTATATTCATTTGCTATGCTTATTTATACACTATTTAATTTTTAAGTAGGTATTAGGCTGTCCAAACAGCTTTGATTTTAATTATAGCCTGGCAAATATTTCGGCCTCTTCGTGTCCATTATTTACCACAGTTGTAAATATTATTTTTGGAAATATTTTGGCTGTCACAATTCTGTTGTCGCCTGCTCAAATTTGGACAACGACATAGATGTGGACAGAAGCAACCTCAACGTAACTATCAACTGAGGCCAATTTGTGGCAGCCACTAATTGAGTTCTCTGTGCAGATTCTTGACACGTGTCAAGACAAATCATCTCAGCTTTTCTCCCCTTATGTCTCGGCCGCAAATCATTGGAAATTTATGGCATTTTGGGGTTCAATGCACCCGAAAATCCCATCGATTTGCAATCGCATTTTTCACCAGACGCCAAATCGCACATGCGACGCGATAAACGCGGGCCGTGAATGATTGGCGAGTTTTTGGGACTGCTTTTAATTGGAAAATAATATTCACAAAGTGCTTTTCACTTAACTGGACACCGACATCATTATTTTCACTCAAATAATATTAATAAATGGCACCCGCTCTACGCGCGTAATAAATAAATGGCGCACATAATGCGGCCAGTAAGTCAATTTTATTATTGAAATGAGTTGCGAGCTGCGAGTTGCGATGTTCAAACAGAAACCTCAGCCAAAGTGAATGTGAGTGTTAACAATTAAAATATAGTACACACAATTCACGGGGTGTGTGTGAGTGTGTGTTTCTGTTGTTTTACATATGCTAGCAATTATGCAGTCGGTGGGCGATGCAATTTGCAAACACTCAAAAGTAGACTATGAAAAATGTCGCGCCCATTAAATTTTCCACACAATCAATTTCGTGGCTGGAGGAGAGCACTTTACGCATATGTTAATTTCTATAAAATTTATTTATTCGTATACATACTATATATGTTTAATGGCAGCCACATCCCGTCGATCGTTTCAACTTGAAATTTAAATCAATTTTGCATCTTGCGAGGCAAACAACTTAAAGCGATAGCAGTCGATTAGTGCGCTTCATTATGGGCATCGTTTTCATTATGTTTATTATGAGCTACGGCCACCTTGGGGTAGAAGTTGTGCCGCTCCCTTTTCCGACCCAACCGCCAAGGAAACGCCTGCGTTGCCGGCCCGTTTTCGAGTTAATGCAATAAATAAAATTTCAACTGCACCGTCGGGCATGTTTAGCCGCATGAAAAGCGACAGTAAGCCGTGCCTGCATAAGAAGTTGCCTGTTTATCTTGGCCCGGTCTTTGCCTTTTGTTTATCCCGGTGTTCAGCGAGGTCCTGGTGCCCCAGCAACATAACAACTGTTCCAAGTCCCCTTTTTTTCCACTACACTTCCTCATCTGTTACACAGGAAAAGATTAAAGCAATTATATAATATTAGCGTTTCTTACGCATTAACTTAAAATATGAACTACACAATTAATTTAAATATTTATTATAACATACCTTTCCCTTTTGTAATTTTAACTTGAACAACACAAGTAAACCATGTTCGGAAAGTAAAAAAATCACTAAAACAACTACCTTTTAACTTATAAATCATAATTTTTAAAATATATATTTAGAATAGTCCTCAAAAATGAAAACGAGGAAAATAAATACATAAATAAATTTGGTGATTTACTCTTTCAATGTCTCTCTTAAATTTAATCTCAATTAATTTTTTCAAGAACTACATCGGGCTTAGGGTACGATAACATTTTAAATACACAACTATTTCTGTCACTTTGATATGGGTTTCCTCCTGTGTACTTTGCTATCACTAGATGGCTGTTTTCTTTCAAAAAGTTGCCTTCTCTGCTGGCCTTGTTGTTGGTTCTGGCTCTGGCTCTGGCTCTGGCTTTGGATGGTGCCCGTTTGGTTAGCGCAGTCGCTTGGCTGCCTGCTTGGCCAACTGCCCTAATGAGTTTACAAAAAGTTTTGCTTTGGCAAAATGCGCAGGAGTGGGACAGGAGTTGGCAGGAACTGCCCAGCATGTTATACAAATTGCAGGGACCCTGGACAAAACTGTCATCAACGTGTCGTCCTTCGCCGGCGGTTGCATGAGGCCAGAGAATCCTGGCATTATGGTACCACTGCCACTGGACGACTTGGGCTGCCAGCCATTTGTTTACCTATCCCATTTGCTGGCATGTTGCATTGTTGCCTGTTACTCGGCGACCAAAGCGAAAGTTTTCGCATTTACGTTGGTGTAGGAACTTGCAGCAGAATATGCATTTTAATTAGTTTAGCAAAGTTTTGCAACTCCGGCCAGACAGTCTCCGTTTGCGTCTGGTTAATTGCGTAAATTTAATAGCTGCTCCTGCATCTGTCGCCACACTTTAAGGCAAGCGAGGTGTGTGTATGTGTGTGTGTGTGTGCGTTAACTTGGCTGACAAAAGTTTGCTACCGCCTACAGCCTACAGCTTACAAGCAAATGTACCACAAAAGTTGTTAACATTTCACATTTCACTAAGTAGCAAATTCAATTAGTTTGCCGTCTGTCGTTTCAAAAAGCATGTGTACGTTTTAGTAAATTACTTTAATGCCCCCAAAAGTTGCCTTCCTGGTTCGGCTTCGCAATTTATGGCTTTCGTAATTTACTTAACTGTCTGGCGCATAAATTAATTTGCCTAAGCATAAATCTGCCGACTATCTGTCGCTGCATTGTGGCCGGCCGAAACGAGGCTGCAACTGATGGCCCGTTTGGCATGCCAGGCAGGAAAGATACCTCATTAGGTTTTTCAATAAATTTATTTCAATATAAATAGAGTGCCGGCTCAGACGGGTTCCGCTGCCACTCAGCCGTCTGCCGTCAGCCACTTCATCTTCGTCTTCGTCTTCGTCTTCTTCTCAGTCGCAGTCTCAGTCGCAGTCGCAGTCTCAGTTTCCATCTGCATCCGTCGGGTTCTTTTGGCAACCGCCTGTGGCAGCACAGTCGGAGCAGGAAGCAGCTTCAAAGTTGCACACGTCGCCTGCACAGAGGACTTAAGGCAGTTGATGCTGCTCCTGCTCAGGATGAAGCTGTAGCTTTCACTACAACGCTTGCCAGGCGAAAATCCCGGAGGCCATCCACTCACAAAAAATGGGGAAGCTTGAAAAATTTTTTTTAATGAGATGGAAGTTTAAATATTTATCACAATTAAACAAATATATAGTTTTTAAATTCAACAATGTGTTTTTTATTTTTAAAAGAAGATTATAAAGCTAGAATTATAGTCAAAGATTAGACGAAATTAATATGAATCTTTTTGAGCTTTATATATTTTGTTTGAAATCAAAAATAAATAGAAAACTGCAAACAGTGTAAGCAATTCATAGCTTGAAGTGTTTAATAGTTGTTTGTAACTTATGAGTTATATATCCTAAAGTGCCTATTTAGCAATGCAAATTTTAAGTATATTAGGAGTTGTAATTTTGTTGAATTTCTTAAAGAAATCTTACTAGAATTAAATCAATATTTTAAATTTGTACATTGAATTAATGATTCAATAACAATTCTTGTTGATATCAGAACTATATATTGTAGTTCTATAATATAAGCCTCATTTTTTTTACTTCATTATGTCGTGTAATGTGACATTTTTCCTCAGTGATTTAATAATCATAACACAGATAATCAAGTATTGTTTTAAAATTCAAATTAACTTTTATCTCCTTGGCTTTTTAACAGTGTTTCTGTGCCATGCCCTCAGGGCTTCCTGATCCCTTTCCAGTATCCTCCCAAATTCCCTTCACTGCTTTATTTTTCCTAGCCTGAGCTGAGCTTAGCCGAGCGTTTGCAACGCGTAAATTTGGCGCTCCAAAACGGTGATTATGTCGTCGTCGTCTGGTTCTGCTGCGAAACCCTTCTCCTTCTCCCATTTCCTTGGCCAATTTTTCGAACTAACTGCAACAGTGGCGCCGGCGACGTCATCACTTGAATAAATTAAGTTGCTGGCAAACAGCTAAATGAAATTGGTAATTTAGAGCTGCACAACGTAGCGTATGCTTGATGTGTCTGCGTTACCTGAGCAACCGGAGTTGCCCGCTGGTCGTTCAGTGTCTGCTGTCCGCTAAGCCGCTTATGGCATGATCCCAATCCAACAGGCAGCAGCATATGCTCACATGGAATGGAACCACCTCTTTGCCACCGTATACTTTTCATCGCAGCTCCTTTATTTCGCTCTTTGTCTCTGTGTGCACTGTAATTGCATTTTAAATGTTCGCACAGCTGCAAATGGGCAAATGATTACTGGAATTTATATTAAACTTTAACCCCCGGTCACTTAATTAGCCCGACTTCGACTTCAGATGCAGTTTCGATTGGGCGTTAACTACTTTTTCATATGACCATCAATCTGCGGCATGGCCAAGTTTCGAGGGTTGGCTGGTTGGCTGGCAGAAACCGACACCTAACTACCGAACGGGGCCAAGACAATAACAAAATCGAGGGCAAAAAAAAGTGAAAAACTTTGTGCACAGCGAGTGAGTCAACTTGGATATATATTGAAGAATGCAGTAGTTCGTTTTTCCCTCTCGAAGGAAGCAAACTTTTGTGCAACTTCCTGGCGTCCTGGCCCTTTTCCTTTGCCTTTGCCTAAACTGACGTAAATTTATAATGACAAATTGCATTTGGCGCAAATGCGGCGAATAAAAAAACGTGGCCAAGCGATTCTCCAGCAGTCGTGGCCAATTGAGCGTGAAAAATTATGAAGCTGGAATGGAAACGGATTAGAGCAAAGCCAGCCAGCCAGACAGTCAGAGACAATCAAAGTGCTTAATTACAGCTTAAATCCGCTTAAATGCAAATTCTTCCCTCTGATTGCTGATTATGCCAAGTGAAAAATGAATGCGCCAGGTAAAGAATTCGCAGACGAAAGCGAATGACGTTAACAAAACTATCGAAAAGGGAACTAACAAAATGCAAATTAATATAAAAAGAGAAGATATGAAGAAAGCGCATTAAGTGATCTGCAGTTGCTTTAAAAATCTTTTGAGAATGCTAAGTCATTTTCAGCTAACAAATTTATGAACGACCATATTTTGTGCAAATGAAAGCATACCATGGTTTATCATTATTAATCATAAAATCATCAGATTGATTTTATTTACACTTGCTTTAGAACCTGTCCCACGCTGCGTATAAGTGTTTTATTTTATTCAGGAAGTGAGACTCGCGTTAATGCTTACAATTTCAATACCCAAACTCAAACCGGTCACAAACAAAAGTGGCTTAAATTTCAGCCATGCCCTGTCCATGTTGCTGTTCTTCCCGTTCATGTTGCTACTGACTCGTGTTGCTGTATTGCTGTATTGCTGTGTTGCTGTTGGGGTCATGGCAGCACTCCCACTTTGCCCACGGGGTTCAAGCGCCACCGCGTCCAGCGATAAAGCAAAAAATGACACGTTTTTAATTTTATTTCACACCTACACAAGGGCAGTTGACGTCAAGGAGCCGCTGCTGCCATGTAATCAAAACTGCAAGAGAGCAACAGTCACAACACAAAACAACGAACCACTACTGCTGGTGACAACAATGCAACTAACTGAAAGGCAGGCAGCACACAGCACACAGCAAGTTGAAGGCGGAGAAAAATTAGATTTATCACGAGTGGTTGCCGGAAAAATTGTCAACATTTATCAACATTTTTCAACGGGACGCGAACGTGTTTGCAGGCCAAGAAACCGAAAACACACAGAACAACAGTAAGAAATTGCTGGCCAAGACTAAGCCGGGCCAAAAGACTAGGTCCAAAGTGTGCCAGCACCTATCGCGTGGGAGTTTGCTCCGCATTTTGATTAATATCCACTGGCGCACTAGCAGGATGCAGCAGCAACATCACGCCAGCAACTAGCAACTGGCAACTAGCAACAGAAAGCGGCACCAAACACCAAGAGCAACAATTGCAACAATCGCAAAACTGGAAAACAAGAAAAGATTCTCGGCCATCGCAGTTGTCCAGTTGTCCACTGATTGTGAAAAGTGGTCACGATGATGACGAAAATTCACTGGCGAAATGAAAACAAAGTTGCCCGCTCTTCCAACCCAACCAGTGTGTGGGTGCTACTCAACTCTCTCTCTCTTTTTCTGCCAATCTCTACAATCTCCAGTGAAAGCTGGGTGAAAAGAACTTTCCCAAAAAAAAAAAAACAAAAAGAAAAGTGGCAGAGCCTTGAATGCGGTTTATATTCTTTTGACTGGTTTATTTGATTTGGCAGCCAAGGAGTTCGAATAAGCTGGAGAACTGTGAGAAATTGCTGGGGATTTGTGTGTGGCAAATTGAGTTTCTGGCATTGATGCAATTGCAGCTGAAAAGACACAGCTGGCCGAAAAGTGAGCGAACATTTCCAGTTATTTAGGGCCGAATTAATTAAGGTAAACATGAAATATCTCCAGGATCAATTTCCTGCCTAATCCTGACCCATTTCGTTGGTCCTATTTTCATTAGCAAACTCACTGGCGAAACACAAACATTAGATAAAACCCAAGCCCCAACAGTAAAGGGCACTACTCTTTTTCCCCCCGCCTGCACATAATCGCATTTTAAACTTTTTCAATAATAAAACTTTTCTAAACGGATTTCCCGCTGGACGCGTTGCGCTTTAATAATTTTTTTTTTATCTTTTTCATTCCAGGCAGCAGGCGGTTTTCAGCTGATGAGCAACAAAGGACAGAGTGCATCGGAGCCATTAATTTAAATTGGGTATTATGAGCGCACTAGCAACAAGGACAGAAAGGTTTGCTATGATTTAAAAACACTAGTACAATATTATATTTATTCTTTATTAAAAATAAGATTACTTTTATAAATTTGCATCGTCTAATTATTTTTCAAAAACATGATGGTGATATAAAATGCTTAATTCCGCAATAATTATTATCAATCTTCTAATTTTTTTGTTCATGCTTATATTTATATATACAGAAAACAAAAATTTAAGTGGATACTAAGCCAAAATGCTTCAAATCAAAATATTAATTTTCAATCTAATATTTGTTTATTTGTTGTAGTTACATAAAATTAAATTTTAATTGGTATTCATCACTTATCAATTTAAGCAGGTTTAAAAATGAAATCAAAATAAAATTATTGAAACCATATTATATTATTATTAGTTTGAGCAGACCTAATTGGGTTAAAGATATTATTTATTATGTTAATTTAAAATTGAGCGTGGTCATGATTTTAATTACCAATAAAATTTAGCATGCTTAAAAAGTGAATGTAAAAGAAGTCTGTTGATTAGAAAAGAATGCAACAAGTAAAACTTAATTATATTGTTCATTAAAACTAGCATAAAAATTTAACAAAGCGTAGAAAGATCAATGAAAATTTAAGCGAAATGTGCATATTTTTAAGTGACGATAAATCAGACTGACTTTTCTAGCGCAAAGTCTTATATTTTATGTTTTCCTATTTTATTAACTTTTGTTTCCTTTTTTTCCATGCAGCTCATGTACGACAAGTCCAAGAAATCGTGGAGTCAGCGGCTCAAGACGCTCGGCAGCGGTGATTCCGTGGACAAGAACGCTTCGCTAGCCGCCGTCAGCGGGATGCAGGCCATGCAGCAGTTGCAGCTGCACATGCAGCAGCAGCAGCAGCAGCAGCAGCATCACTTGCAGCAGCACCATCAGCAGCAGCAGCAGCAGCAACACTTGACCCACCATGGCCACCACCAGATGGTGACCGCCTACCAATTGCCGCCGGTGCCCGCCGCCGAATTCCTGCCCAGCGCTCTTTCACGTTCGATGAAGTACGCGGAGCCGTGGATCTACGGCACGGTGCGCGGCATTCCGGCCCGCCCCTCTTACGGCTACCATCCCCATGCGGCGGCGATTTTCGCGGCAGCGGAGGGCATGCCCGGCTCAACCGCCCTGGCCGTGGTGATCTGCTCCTGTGCCGAGTACTTGAACGGCACGAAGCGCGACGTGAAGAAGGCCAGTGTGTGCAAGAAGTGCAAGGGGTCACGCCTTCCGCTGGCCACCATTGGTGGCGGCACTGGGGGCACAGTGCGTCTGCCGGCTGTCAGCGGGACCGGGAACGCGCGACGACCCACCATGGCGGCCACCATGCGGGTGGTGAGTGCCACCAAGAAGTCACGTCCCTCCATTCTGGATCCGCAGAAGGATCCCTACGACCTGATGCGACGCACGCGTTTGCTGTCGCCGGAGCCGAGCTCCAAGGATGCGGATGGCAAGTCACGTAGTCGCAGTGAGGCGGGGCTGAATCAGCAGTCCAGGGGTCGAACACGCACACGGGCTCCTGCCCCACCAGCCCCCACTAACCAGAAATCTCCAGCAGCAGCAGCAGCAGTGGCTGCAACAGCTGATCCCACGGATTGCTGGCTCATGGAGGACAATGAGTCGCTGCTCCAGAGCAGCGGCTTGGCCACATCGAGGGCCTCCAGTCGGCGGTCCATACTGCGCTGCCACGTCAATCCCTATGACCTGATCTCAAGCGAAAGTGTTAAGCTGCCGAATGACCTGAGGAAGCCCCATGATCACTTCAATGTGGCCGATGCCCAGCTCAATGATGACCAACTGGAGCGAAGGCGGAGCAGCAGCAGCAGCAGCAAGTTTTACAGCGGCAATGTCACGGCCATTGCGGGGCAAAGGATTATCCTGGGTGATAAATCCGGCGATAGCTCCGATCCAGGTGACAGCTATGAGCGAATTATAGTGCTCTCTGGTGGCGAACCGACATCTAATGGACCGCGACGACCGCCGCGCAATAAAAAAGCGGATGAGCCGGCGGAAACAGCTACAGCAGTAACACCAGCAACAGCAATCACAGTTAAGCCCAAGGCAGTGCCTTCCATTGAAGGGGAAAAATCAGTGGAGCACAGTGATTCCACTTACACAGTGCTCACTGTGACGCCCACTTCGCCAGCCATCAAGTCGATTTTAAAACGCCCCTCGACTCTGGAGTTGCCTGGCATTGGAGTGGGCACCGCCACCACAGCTCCGTTGCCACTTCCTCTCCAGACGAGTGACAATTCTGGACCCGTGACGCCTGCGGGCAAGTCACAGTTCTATATACCAACGCCGACGGGGACAACTGGCACGCCCACGCCCCACAGCACACCCATGGCCACATCAACACCTACACCTACACCCTTGGCAGTCGTTGCAGCGACAGCAGCAGCAGCAATCACGCCGGGTTCACGCAAAAAAGTGCAATTTATGGTCGAGGATAAAATCATAGCCACGAGTGCGATTGCGACTGCGACTGCAACAGCGACAGCGGCGACAACTGATGACAGCGATGCCAGTGTGGCAGCAACGAAAACAAACTACGAATACTACAATCGCAAGCGAAATGCAGCAGCAGCAGCAGCAGGAACAACAGCAGCAACAGCAACAACGACAGCAGCAACATCAACGGATCAGCAGGAGGCAACGCTATTTGCGGCTGACGTTGATGACGAGCATAACTTTACAACTTCCGCTGAGGCAACTCCGTTCATAAAGCCGGATAGTTTGCATTATGAAGATGTTCTGCCGGGTCCCCAAATATTTGACAGCAACGAAAAGCCAGCTGGCGGCGAGTCCTCGTCCTCGTCCACGTCCACGTCCTGCAAATTATTACTGCCAGCGGATGGGTCGCCGCATGTCACTACGAATCCTGTCAGCGTTTTACCAACTGGTGAGTACTGCGAATTACGCCCGGCCAACCATCAACCAGTTGACTTTTAATTATGAGTTGGACTTTGGCAAGGCCAGCACTTTTTCATCTAGATTTTGTTAGTAAACTCGATTGCAACACAAAAGGAAAAGTCTACAAAAAAATTGGAAATAAATTATTAAGATATAGAAGTATATTTCTTAAAAAGTATTTTGAATGAAATAAATTCCATGCTTTTTTAGTTGACTTCTAAACTATTTAAAATTGTATTGTACTCTTAATTTAAAAGTCTTTTTTACATGTGTAAAATAATAACGTGCAACAAAGATTTCTAAAAACATATTTAACTAAAAGCTAATACTTTATACTCTTACCATAGTATTTCCAAAAACTGAAAAAATATATGTCTCTAAAAGCTACGGTTTTAAGGAAAAATGCATAAATATTGAAAACCCTTTAAATTTGTATTTTTGTAGATATTTTATTTGTGTGTCCTGTTTCATAAATGACGTGCTACTCAAATCCCAAGTGGAAAAGCGGCAATCCCATTCGCAGTGTCTGCCATTTTATTCCTATTTTAACTATCTGTCTGCCATTTATGCACTCACTCACTGGACTTTGTTTGTTTTTTAAGTGAAAATGAAAATGCTGGCATTGTTTGCTAATTGCTCATCATCACGGCACGGTCTACGGAGTTTGCCACATTGCACATTACGTATACGCAAAGTTGTCGGCGACACTTTATGCATTATACGAATTCCCTAACAAGCATGAAAACTGTTTTGGCCAGAGGTTGTATGAGAGCCAATTGAAATGGTGACATTTCAATGGGAATGGGATTGAGTGGAGGGGGAGGGGTGGGGTAATAAGGGAACAGTGGGGGGGTCGCACCTGGTACAAGTTCACGCTGGGGTTAACACCATAATCAAGCATCAGACGGAGCCGCAGTCAGACCCTTTGACACAGTCACCCTGTCACCGGCACACGCTCTGCCGCCCACCCACCAAGTCACCTACTAAGTCACCCACTCCCAATCCCCCTTAACCACCCACAGCACGTAGCTGAGCGGCAAACAAAACGACAGTTACAACAACTACAACGGAAACGACTAGCAGGCCAAGTCAACGTGACATTTGCACCCACAAATGGCAGCGACGCACGGCGATATGCCAGCGAACTACTACTACTATAACTACTATTCAACTATTCACATTCGCAGTTCACATATGCATGCTTACTTCAGGTGGGGAGGCTCAGAGTGGGCGGTGCGATGGGGGCGTGGCACACATGTTCGACTTCATTCAAAGCAAATTAACAGGCAGCATCGTGGGGTTAAGCCGACGGGGAGCGGACCTCTCATAGACAGACAAAAAACTTTGCATTCAATTAAATTTCAACGGTGAAGAAAAACTTTTGTCCATCAGGGAATCGAGTTGAGTTCGGTTGAGTTGATCTCAACTAAAGTCAAATGAGTGGGTATCAGGATAAAAACTGTGGCCTACACTGGGCCACCTGCACAAAATATTTAATTAAAGTTCAAGGCTTAACAACCTTTAATATAAACATTTCATGCCCCAAGGTTTAAGAATTTGTTTGCTATTAAAATAAAGAAGTGCACTTAAATAGAAACATGAATATCAGTATTTATATATACTGGAGAATATATTTAATTTATATATTTATTTTAAACCGACTAAGAGGTTCTACATATATTGACTTTTTGTTATTCTACGAATACATAATATTGCTCCATTTAAAGCTATGTAAATCATACTCCAAAATTTGTTGTCTATTTTTAAAGTAAAAGAATTATGATCTTAAAAGGGCTAACAATTCCAAGACCTTGCAGAAATGTCAATTGTTCAACAATAGCTGAATGTGCCCGATATTTTTAAGTCTCACATATTTCTAAAGTTCCCGCTGCCATATAGAGTCTTTTCTTTCGGATTGCAGATAAGAGGTTTTCCTCCGCAGCTCGGGTATTTCAGCAATGCGAACAGACAATGCCAACGCATCGCGAAATTCTGAAGAGCCCGAAGACACCGGGGCGTCAGCCAAGCAGCCACAATTGCGATGACTTCGCTTATGGCTGTCTATTATGGCCCAAAGGAGTGGGTTCAGCGGGAGGTGGGGCAGGAGGAGGTGCCTCACAAAAGGTGACATGGTCGTGGCAATGGCGCCCACGTGTCCCCGCAAGACAATTACAAAGTTACTCCTGCGCGCTGGCTGCCTGCAATTTGTTGCATTGTTTGCCGCGAGTTAAAGCACTTGGAACTTTGCAAACTATTTTTGATTTGATTTTTGAAATTGGTTCTCGCTATGGGCGCCAAGCCACCCACCGTATTCCATATTCCATATTCCATTTTCCGACCATCAGGCGACCGCCTCCCGAGATGATTTATAGCGCACGTGTTGCATGCACCGGAGGAAAATCATAGAAAAAAACACAAAAAAAGCAGGCGAGTGGGTCGCCTGACGGGCCAAATCGCAGTGAAAGGCATTAAAGTGATAGAGTCTGGCCGCTCGACGGTGAAATTTGCATTTCTAATGCGCCAACGCCAACGCCGAAAAGTTTGAGTCATGACCATGGCCTGAACTCGCCGGATTATTAATATTTCATATTTGTCTGCGATAGGCGAAAAGTGCGCCTCGATTTTCGACTTCCGAATGGAATTTAAATATAAATTGTAATATTTTTAAGTGGTTCACGCTTGGGCAAAACTTTTTGACTTTCTATTTAATCGATAGGTATTTATATGTTCGAGAAAAAGTACTTATTCATTGGCTTCATTTTCGGTTAAGGTGGGAAAACTTTTTATTTTTCAAAAAATAAAACAAAAGAAGATTCATTTAATAAACTGCAGTTTTCAATTTAAAGATAAAAAACAGTTTAATAAGCAATTAAACTCTCGAATAATGCCTTTTAATTTAATTTTAAACAAAATAGGTAATGGAATCCAAATGTCTCTTTGAGCTTTAATGAGCTTTATTATGTAGCATGTGTTTAATATTTTGTTAAAACTCTTCCTGCTCCCATTTAATCCAATGAACGGGTTTTCCCATTTTCATTCATAAGAATTATTTATTTGAATTACACTTTAGATGGATCAACTTTCTTGCTTGCCTATTTTTCAACATCCATTCTGCATGGACAAAGCAAATATTTCCTTATACTAAAGATTGTATTTGTAATGCTAATTAATTTGTGGCTACTCAATACAAGTTGCATAAATTCCAGTTTAAATGCAAGGCACAAACTTGTGCCTAATAAAATGAAATTGTTTTGATAAAGGACCAAAAGTAGCATTTAATTGAGCTAATCATAAAATTATTTAGACCGAGCTCCGAGTGGCGTTGTGTTGGGAAACATTTCCAATTAACGCGCTGCCGACAGTTCAGTTTCAAAGGAATTTCCTCCCAGGTAGACGATATTAAGTCATTAGCATTTCTGCAATCCCCAAACCCATCTTTTTTGCAATTGGGTGAATTTTTCTTTGCTTTGCTTTCCCGCTCATTGCAATTTGCTTCACTAATGTTTCTTCTCTGTTTTGAAACGTCGCTCCATTCATTTAATGGCGTCTGCTTTAAATTTTCTTTGCCATTTGTAGTTGGCCCTTTCGTTCCCGCTCAAATGAAGTGTGAATGGGAAAAGCGTTTGGAAATGAGATTTTTAAATATGGCCAGCAATTGTAATTCCAAATGCCAATAGCAGCAACATCAGCAGCAGTAACAGCAACAGCAGTGGCAACATCCACAGCAGCAACACTGTTACATTTTGCATTTTATATTGCCAAGCTCAGCGGAAGTTGAGCCTCATGTCTTCATGTACTTTGCATATTTACACTAATAGAAATTGTGGCAGGCAATTGAAAAAAACGTTGTTGCTGCTGTTGTGGCTATATGCCACTGCCACTGCTGTTGCTGCTACTAGTGTTGCTGCTGTTGCCGTTGCTGCTGCTGCTGCTGTTTTATGGACGGCCATAAAAAGTGTCGCAGGGACGGGGGGCGTGGCAAAGGTGGCAGTTTTACGGCCATGCTTCTTCTTCTTGAGTTGCTGCTGCGGCTATTTTATTGTTGCGACAACAGCAACATCACTAGTGTGTCCAGGCTTCGGCCATTCCTCAAACTTAATATATCCTGTTTCCTGATTTTCATGACGTCCCTATAAGTGGCCAACAAGCTCTTGTCCAGCAATGGCCGCATTTTCTAGGTTTTCCCCAAGTTTTCCTCAACCGATTCCCACACTAACCCCTAAGACCCTCGCTTATGCTGTGCGCCATTTTCTGCATTTAAGTGCAATTCTATGCAAGAATGTGCCGACATGCATATTTGTGCTAAAGCCATTTCCCATCTCTTCTGGCTCGCTTTTCCCCAGTTTTCCCCAGTTTTCCCCAGCTTTTGCCCCCCCTCTCGGCTGCCATAAAATGTTCGTTTTGCCAGCTAATGCATACAAATGCCTGATGCGCTTTTTGCATTACAACAAGAACAGCAAAGTAAGTGAACGAAAAAGGAAAAAGGAAAGAAAGGAGAAAGACAGCTAAACAGCAAACAGAATGGTACATTTTCATGTCTTCATGTGTGTGCGCGCGACAGGGGACATTCACTTTTAAGTTGGCATTCGAAAAAATCGCATTGAATCTTGACCAAAAACAATGGGGACAAGTCTCAGACACATTTTAAAAGCCAAAGGAACATGAAGAGCATGAAAGTTGGGAAGGAAAAAAATGTAGAACAGAATGAAACTCATGGGAAAAGCATGCTAGATTGTGAAAATGTATATATGAAAGAATGAAAAGCATGGTAGATTGTGAAAATATATATGAAAGAATGTTTATAAAACAAAAGCATGGAATAGAATGTTAAATATAAGTTTGGCTTTAGTTATATACACCATATTAAACGGTTTTAAAAGTTGCCTTCAAATATGTTTTGCTTAAATTTTTAAAATAACTCATAACTTTCTACACAGTTCTTTAATATTATTATTATAAAGCATTAAGCAGTGCATAATTTCCCCAAAT